TGATTCAGATAGATCCAGGCAAACGCACTGTAAAACCTTGGGCGCTGGGCAGGAAAGATAGCAGCTCCCAGGCTAAGGCTCGATCTACTCAGTTTCGCGGCACAGCAGATAACACTGGGGGGGGGGGGGGAAGAGTTGGGATGACATGAGCTGCACGAGTCACCTCAAGTCATTCCTTCCTCTCTAACCTCTTCCGGAAGATCACGAAGCCTCGGGATTCTATCCTGGGAACTGCTCAGTGAGACGGCCACTGGGAGCCCATCGAAAAAAACGCGGAGCAGGAGCAACTACTTCATCTTTGCAAAAACACTGATCGTTTGCGCCCAGACGACTTTTGACTTCACTTGCGAAGGAAGTGCTTTACTTTGACCCCCGCTAGTTGTTTTTTTGTAAATTCGGTGTGTGACCCTAGGCCCTAGGGGACTGCCGGACCTCTGCTTAATTACTGCTGAACACGGCCGTGCTGCGCGCGTCAGCCGTTTCTAAAGTTATGTCCTGCTTGACTGGTCAAGTCTTTCGGAAGCACTTGCCGCCGGTTTGGCAAAGGCACGCCGTTGAGAAGGCGTTGTCAAAGAATCCTCCCTCCAAGGCTCCGTAGGCGAACCTGGGACAGAGTTCTCCGACTTGCAACGGCGGAGGATCGAACTTACATGAGATACCTGGCTGGATGCTGTTTCTGTGCGACCCTCAGCCTCCAGGAGTCTCTGAAACTCAGGCCAGGCGCTCGCCAAACACACCTTGCAGAGCGATGGACTGAGAGTCGCAGGGGGTTGGCTGCTCAGAGTCTCGGCCTGCGAAGAGGCCCAAAGCGAAGGGGACGATCACCTCAGGAGCCCGAGATCCTAGAGAGACGGGGTTTATGTCGAAGCTTAGGGCAACTCACTTTCAGAGAGACATCATGTTTCTGAAGCGTTTGTGAATTCTGAATGCTACTAGTGATGGATGGGGACTTGAAAGAAGAGCATGACGTCTGAAGACGCAGGACCCCAAAGTGCCCTTTCAGCGCTCTCCGAGGTACCAGCGAGCCGCCAATGCCCAAACCCCGATAGTAACGCAGGTCATCTTCAACCAGCAGCTTGTAGTAGAGATACCTTGCGGGGTTATCCTTATCGGGAGCTCCTACTCCTCACGCACGCTTCTTACACCGGCGTGACAGCCGGGTTGCCAAATCACACCCGGCCAAAACGTGGCCAGGCACAACCAGCGTGCCCACATGGGGAAGCCCGCCTTCAAACTGTAAGCACCGTCTCATTCTGAACAAGCCATTTCTTCTGCAACGCTTATGAGCCAGGGAGCTGGGGCGGTCTCTCCAGACTTGTCCAGGAAGACAGCAAAGGAGGGGAAGGCCCACCTGCGACACAAATGGCGGTCCTCATAGTCATAGTGGTTGCAGAAGTACCGATACAGTAAAGACTAGAAGGGCTTGCAAGCGTCGACGAGCTGGATGCAACCGGGCGACATTAAGTCACGAGGCCTGGGCACCAAGTGTACCGACTTGGCTATCAACATGAAGGGGGTGAACGAGGCATCTCGAAGCTTTTTTTCTTGCCATTCGTTTCTGCCAAGTCTTGTCTTGCCTAGCCAGCATCTGTCCGCTGTCCTCTAGACGAGGGACCAGCTGGCTGCCGCGATTGTGCCTACCAGCATCTCAAGTACATGGGGCACGTGGACGCCAAGTCCTGAACTGTTCTGACAATATGATATGGCATCGGTTCGATGCCAAGATCTCTTCCGATTTCCTTTGATCGGCCAAGCGAGAATCACACTCCCCACAGGCAAAGAACAAAACATTCCCTGTGGCCGGCGTGTAGAATACCATGGAACGCCAAAGCAAATCCTGTGCTGCCGCCCGGTTCGCGAAGTTGCGATCGAAAATGTGAGGGCTTCGCCCGCGATCTAGAAAAGCGCAAAACGGCAGACCGGGCAGCTTGCTCACGAAGCAAAGTGTTTTCTGCTTTTTTTTGCTGGAACTTCAGAGGCACCACCAAATCCTGAGGGCTCTCTGATGTGCTCATGCAAGGTTGCCCGGGCTAACCTTGGTGACGCATTGACATGATGCCCCTACTGCATAGAAACTGCATCCCTATGCATCCTCGCAAGCCACCGGGCAGTGACACAACAGCTTTGAAAAAGGCAAGCAGCTCACGCTGAGACCGAGTGCCTGTTGGCCCAGGACGCCTCCGACCCCGAGGAGGTAGCCTGAGTCTTTCGCCACCGGCACGAGCAGTTGCAACATGTTGCAACAGCGGGTGTCCTTCCTGCATCTCCTGCTGTCTCACCACCATCGCTGCGATCGAGGGGCCCACAAGAGCAGCAGGTGCCACGCTGCGGACGTACCAGCCGAAGGATACCTCCTGAGTCGGACAGCTGTGCTTAGAGATTCCCACGGCACCCAGGCCCCATCTGCAGGCCTTCTCCATGCCCATGAAGGCCACTCCGGCCGCCGAGCCTATCACCAACAGGGAGCCGCCTCAACCGTCGCGGGAGTCTGCGCAAGCTGCATGAAAAATCTGCAGGACTGTATAGGGGTTGCCTACAAGGCCTAAGGCTTTCATTTCCGGGGCCCCCTGCCAGTGGCGGCGCAGTAAGTGATGAGGTTCCAGAGACCGTCGTTGGCGGGGTGCGCGGAGAGGTCGTACATTCCCTGGGTCGCCGCGACCAGAGGGACATTGTCCACGATAGCGGACGCGAAGCCCAGGAAGATGGCCACCAAGGAGTCGTCGGGAAGCAGCTGGCTGAGCTGCTCCGCGAAGTCCTTCAGCAACCCCACCCTCTCCAGGGCGCCCACCGCAAAGAGCACACCCAGGAAGAAGAGCGCATCCGGGACCTCCACGCGCTTCAGAGCGCCCTTCAGGGAGTAACGGTCGTCCCCCGGCTCGTGGAGCAGGCTGGTGATGAGACCCAGCAAACCCAAGACCAGCATCATCCCGGTCCAGGCAGGGCATTTCGTGAAGGCCGTGAAGACCGGCACCCCCACCATTCCCAGCAAACCGCCCCAGAAGACCAGCTGTTGACCGGCGGGCGCCTCTGTGCTGATACTCTTCTCTTTGCGCCGCTGGAAAGGTTTCCGGCCCTCGATCACGAATAGGAGCTCGTAGCCCATGGCGCCCAGCAAGCATAACGAGCTCGGGACAAAGAGGTTCGTTAACAGGGGCACGGTGGTGACCTGTCCGCCTCGCGAAGACTAAGCGAGAGTAGAAACCTGCAAAGTCAAGACCAACAACTTCAAGAAAAGCCTCGTCTCGGCCTCTCAGAGTTTCCTCTCGTGGTCGCACCCAATGCTTTGGGCAAACGTGTCTTGAGATCCAAATTTGCTGGCATTCGTTTGTGCCCAATACCTCACAACCCTATCTGAAGCTGTGCGCAGCTGCAGGTTTCAGCTTCATGCTCAGGCATTTTCTCCGGGACGAAACGCTGGTTCGACCGGGGCAATCCATATCAATCCTTCGTGTCGGTTGGGTTCCACCGCCCTCCGGCAATCCTTTTTCTGTGGGATTTCATTGGCACGGCATTGCTCCATTCAGCCCTGTCTCTCACTGCACTTGCATTGCCTTGCGCAGTAGCTCCGTATTGCTTAGTAGAGTACGCGGGCATGGCTAGAGTGTTACAAGCAAGATGGGAGGACGCGCCTATGTACAGCATGGTGGTAGTGATGTCCCCAATGGGAGTCCAGGCCCCACCAGCGTTGGAGGCCACCACCACCAGACCTCCAAGTTTCATCCGGAAGTCATCGTCCTGGACGAGCCTTTGGAGCAAAGACACCATCACGATAACCACGGTGAGGTTGTTTAGCACTGAGGAAAGCAGGAAGGTGAGGACGCCGATGGTTATCAGCAAATCTCTCTGGTTGGTGGCCTTGATGGCTGAGGTTATTATGTCAAACCCTTTGTGGGCATCCATGATCTCCACAATGGTGAGAGCCCCAAGCAGGAAAAAGACGACTTCAGCGACATTCTGCAAGGTTTCTGCGATCGCCGTGTCAAACTCGGAAGCTGTCATGTCGATGCCTCAGCGCTCTGCTGCTATGCGGCCATGCTACGCCGCTACGCTTTGCACTCTTTCCGTGCTCCTTCCTGGCGGAGGATTCCTGCACATGGACAAGCCGAGCTGCCAGTGCCGACCAAGGCCCAGACCAGAACCTCGGGACGTCCCCAAAAAAAAAACATCCTCCAACCTCCTAGGGCCTAAGGTGAACAAAGACCTGTGACTAAGCTGGCCAGGGTGCTCCGAGTATCAAGGCCGTGGCTGCCTTGTTGATCTCAGTCTGCTCCTGCAGAGCTGGGAGATCTGGTCATTAGTGCTGCTGGCAGGTCACAGGCAGCAAAAGCAGCGACTGCATCCAAGAACATGTTGTTGCAGCGATGTCCTCCAGGACGATGACTGCATAGCCTCGACTCGACAATCAAAAGCTGCACTGGTCGACACATTTTGGTGTCTGTGGCCGGCCTGCCACAAAAGTGGCCACTATCGGAAAGTACTGGTACTGCGCCTCTGACAAGAATGGGACCACAACCTCGGCCAGAGCGTCATCCTGTCTGGCCAAACACACTCACCTGCACCCACCGATGGATGGCATACCGCCCCAAAAGCATCGAGTTGCCCAGCTGTGCTGGATTGCAAACATCAGAAGCCTGAGCTCGCATCTGTCTTTGTGAGAAAGCCACAATTACCAGCACTGGCAACTTCCTCTGGGCGATGTCCTCCCATCTCCCGATCACTCTTCCCTTGACAGGATGCAAAAGCATCCACGCTTTGTCCACCAAAGTTTCAATGCTCGCCGGGGAGCAGCCAGGCCGCCAGGCCCATCAGCGCCGGCGGCACGCCGCTCGCACGCTCCGCTTTCTGCGCCAGCGCGCTTCCTCCTGCGCGGCTCCAAGAGCGTCTTTTTTGGGAAAGCTGCGATCAAGAAGGCTCAGGGCTCTCCTTCCTCTTTCAGAACTCAGTCCCCCCCGTCCCCGTGTCGCCTCGCGCTTGCATCGCTGCCGCCGCCACGATGGGCACCAGCGCCAGGCTCGTGGCGCTCATCTTCGAGGGCGGAGCTCGCCTCGACGACAAGGGCACAAAAGGGCTCTCAGCGGTGCTTTCGGCGGCTTCGTGTCTTTTGGAGTCTTATATGGGCGAGGGTCGCGGCGGTGAGCAGGGCCCTGTGCCCCTTCGCAGGAGAGCTGAGCGGGCGAGACCTGAGCGGCTCCAAAGACGTCGACGAGACTCTGGAACTCCCCCCGGCCCCGGCCCTCTCGCTTGCAGTCTAGCAGGCCCCTGCGCCGTCTCCACTGCATGGAAGGTCAGTGCCGCCCGCAGCAAGGCCCAGATCAGGGCCAGGGGGGCCAGCGCCATGCCGATCACGCGAGCCATGCGCCGTGGCTGCAGTCGGGGACCTCGCAGCTCTGCGCATTCCCGGCCCTCACTTCCGTCGCCCTACTACCGGGTCCTCGCTTCCTCCTATCCCTGCACTCTGACGGCAAGCACCGGCAAAGTTTCTACGATCTTGAAGTGTAGAAGAATTAAGACCTCAAGCCTGAACGGAATTCCCGCCAGCCTGTGCATCTGGACATGGCTGCGGCCGATCAAAAGCTCCTACGTCCTGGCCGCAGGGCCTGGGCCCAAGGCCGCTTCCCATCGGCTTCCTCTGAGCCAGAAGCCCCGCAACAGAGAATCAATGAGCTGGCAGCAACTGAGACATGGGCAGACCCGTGACGAGCTTAAGACCGCGGCTCGGGCACCTCCTCAACCTTTGGCGTTGGCTCTGATCCGAAGCTCGGCAGCGCGAACTCTGGCCATGTCGCCTCCTCGGCGAAAACTATTGAAGCAGGCTGCCTTCCGGTGCTACATTGCTACATCTGGTTCGGAGACAAGAGACTCTGCTTGGACAACTGCCCGACGAGCCTCCTCCGGCGCAGCCGTCGCTGCTACATCCTCGACAATTGGAAAACTACTTACAACTGCTTACGCTCTCTTCGCTGGTTCTCTCGCCACCCCAATGAAGGCTGCGGCTGATCGAGCCCGTGGTTGCCCTCTAAGTCTTCTAATCCAAGTGCCTCGGCACGGCGGAAGAGGGCCCCGAGGCCAAGCGGAATGGGTGACCCGGCAAGCACCTAAGTGCAGAACACTGCAGTGACATGCACGGACAACGGATTCGGGAAGGTTACAAGGTTCGCTAGGGACGCGGCCGAAAAGGAGGCGAAAGATGCCAGGCCTTCGACATCCAGCGCGCCGCGAGCCACGCGGCGGCTCCGGGGCAAACTAGAGCCTTCAGCGCTCGCAGGGCAGACGTTTTGTGCTTTCGGAGCAGGCCTCGCGGTGAAGAGACGAAGCTGCTCCCAGCCGCCAGGACCAGGACGAGCCTCCAGATGCCGCTGCCAGTCCCACAGTCCTGTCTCCTCATGCTTGGACCATGGGGCAACAGCGTCTAAGAACGGGACAGCGACAGCACAGCAAGCGTGGCTGCCAGCGGCCTGGAGGGGCCGAACTCTGAACTGAGCCGAACGCCAGCTCCGCCCTCTTAGCGAGTCAAGAGACCGGTGCCTGCGCAGTGCCGGCAAGCGAGGGCGCAAGCGCGCCAAGCGCAGACGCGCCATGGCAGCACCCGAAAGAGCTCGGATTCTCGCTACTTGCTCGCAGCTTGCATATTGCACTCTCGCTGCAGCCGGGCATAGCCGGGTCGACTGTCAGCAGCTGTGCAGCCGGTATCAGCCATTGTCAGCCTGAGGACCAGGTGCCTATATATAGGCCCACTAGGCAAGGCATGGAGAGCCGAAAAGGCTGTTGGCCAGCGAACTACGGCCTGCTACGGTTCCACTAGGTTTCTAGAGTCTACTATACTCCAGAAACCGCGTGGTAACAGGACCTGTCAAGGGTCGCTTGCGGCCGACCGAGTGCCGCGCAAACACGGCAAGGCCTGCAACGGCCAGGGGTGAGCGGCGCCTTGGCGCACGGCAACGCAGAGACTCCCTAGATGAGGCTACAGGCACCGCAGGCACTGCAGGCGGCTAGGCCGCAGGCGCCATGGCAGGATCTAAGGGGGCCTTGTGCGGCGCGGAGGCGGGACACAGCTGACAGCTGCGAGGGGGCAAGTCGGCAAGGCTCAAGCAGATGACCAGAACTTACCACGCAAGATGCTTTCGTTGCCGGAGCTTTTCTCTGCTCCTGGCTCGCCTGAAGGTGATTTTACCTCCCCTTCACCCCTACCCGGTCGTGTCCTTCTGAGCAGTGCGCAACAACCAAGAACACACCCCGTCACATGTTACATGATATGAATTCTATGACTCCATGCTCGGAGGGCACGAATCCAGTGCTCTACTCAGGGCCCGCTGCCACCTGTCGCGAACGCCAAGGAGTCTGAGTCTGAGTCAAATGTCGGCCACACACCCCCCGAAAAAAGATCCGGAAAAAGGCCGGGCCTTTCGCGTTGTTACCTGGACAGCAGCAAGAGACTGAGAATGGCTGCATTTCAAGTTTGGGCGGGGTCTTTTCTGGCCAAAATGCTTGAACCCCTGGCTTTTGCTCGCACGATTGGAGGTTTAGAAGGGTTTGATAGGACCTGGGGTCAGACTGGGTTCCGATTCCGAAAGCTCAACCGGCCTGAACAGCTCATCTTGATCCCTGCTTGGCCCTACTTGGGGGCGCCTCTGGCCAGACGATCTCACCTGCCGGCTGGAGCTTCATGAGTTCCTGGCGTCGAGAAAGACTGACAGTCTCATGAAGTAGTATGTTCCCTAACCTCTGCTTGCAGGCTGCTGCGCACTCCTCTATTGTGCCCTCTACATTCAGTAGTCCGTGCATTGAGCAGTACATGAGGATGTACGAAGCAGCGCTGCAGAGCTGGGCCGAGGGTGAGAAGCAGCCGGCTGGGACTGGAGTTGACATGAACGTGCTTGCTCCTGCCTTGGTTGTGGGCTTGATCTGAAGGCCGTTCGGTGCCGGCGAGAAACTCACAATGGGCTTAACGACTGTAGTCTGAGCCGTTTCGGAGTCTTCACCCCACTCCCCCCCGACAGACACACAGGCGGGCCCATGGGCCCGTGGGCCCGCTGGTCATGGGCAGAGCGAGGGACGTGCTGGCAAGAACAGTTGCAAGCTGACGAGACGTGGAGTCCTGCATCTCTTGTTATTTACAACGTCCCGCGTCCATGCATATTCACAAACACATAACAAAGATCATAGCAAAGAACTCATGACATAACAAGCCATAGCATGGCACACTATAACAACATACCATGACACCGGATGAGAATGGATGAGACATCTCGAGACCACATGACGTGACACTGAAAACACAGCATGACAAAACATGACACAATAAATCAATGTACCATAACATAGCCATAACATGGCATAACATAACGTAACATAACACAACACCGCATAACATAGCTAAACAAAGCATAACAAAAAATATTCCACGCTCACACGTAAATACAAAACATAGACAAGAATATTATTCCATATGCATGTCTGCGCACACAGAGACAAACATATACATATGCGTCTATATATACACATATATATACACGCAGACACGCAAGCCAGTATGCAAGTACAGAAATGAATAAATGTATACATCACCACAAATGCATAACGTAACCCTGTACAACACAACGTGACATGACGCGATGGAGCAATACAAGGAATAGACAACATGCAAGTACATAGAGAACATAGCAAAGACTAGGCCACGTACGCAAAAGCATGCACACAGCACGCACATGTGTGTATAAGTAAAAATATATATATAT